ATGTTAAATTCTTGAAGCACACAATCCAATTTATGTTTGGTGGGTAGGCCCATAAAATACATCGATGTCCTACCAAAAAAGGACACATGGCTGTTATGGCAAATAAGGTAAAAACCTTTTTGGTTTTGCTTTATTGATTAGTTATGTGGTACAAGTTACAATTTCAAATATGATACTATAGGCATTTTTGGATTGTAATGCCCGGTTCAGCTCGCCCCAACTACAGTCAACCTGRCCTTATTCTACCCCAGCCCTGGTTGTGTTTGCATTGAGTAGAGTGCCGCCTTTAYGTGGACACACACGTACGAATCTTATTACGTTTCATTTGTGACAAAACAACAATGGACTACACCAAAATCGAAGTAAAAATACCAAAGACTTGAACCGAACCATCCAGCAGTGTGACRCTTAAGACGAGAGGGCAGGACAGCACAGGAYGGTAAGCTAATGGTAGCTAATGTTAGCTTGTTGTTGTTTGGTWGACTGCAACAGTTTAAYTGAGCTTGTGTGAAAAAATGTTAGAGTTTCTGCAAATGATTCACTTAAAGTTACTCTCATCAGTGTAACGTAACCTATCTGTGAGCAGCTCTAGCTGACGTCAAATCAGGCCAAGTAGMCTGGCCCGGAAAGAACCATGGTTCTTGGGGTTCCAGGAACTGGGCAATGAGGACTAATGCAAGCATGCTGAACCCRGGTTTGAAGTCAGGCCCCTTGCAATAGAAAAAGGCCTTCTGACRTTAAAATGTAGATGCCTGCCTCAAGTGAAGTAGGGTTGGACCCTGGTCTAAAGATATTAATCAGGATGTCCTTAAAACAATACAATTTTTTAATTTAAAAATGTAAAATCTTTTTTTACTCTAGGAAATTTTTACAGTAAAATAGACTAAACTGATATGGAGCAGGTGTTTAATCAAAAATGATGCAATGCAATTTTTGAGAACCGCTTTTTCTTTCCTTCAAATACAAAAAGTTAAAGAAAACATCTTTATTCTTAAGAAAATTGGCATAATACACATGATTTTATACATTTTGTCTCATAACTGGCCTATTTTCTTTTGGATTTGGCTCAGCCAAAGTGAAACAGGAAGTGACGTCAAAGGGGAACTCTTTAATAAAATAAACTCCCTGGTCTTTGTTCATTAAAACAATATWATTTCAACTTTAACTCTTCTTCATCTCTCTTTGAAAGAAACTCAAAATAATCTTAAAAAAMSCATCAGATTCWTCTCCACAGTCTTGGTTGTTAGCTGTTGTAACAAKGCTCTGTTCACAKTCGGACATTCCCCTTTGACATCACTTCCTGTTTCTTCACATGCAAATATCTCAACAACTGTTCATCTCAGTGGCATAAAATTTGTTTTGCCAYATTTKATCAATGTTCTCTTTCCAAAAATGCATTCAGGTTTATTACAAAAAAATGATGTCACAGGCACTTTAATAATTCATTTGTTTCTTCACYCTGGTTTGTGATAATGGTTAGTAAATTATTTTAAACCTGTGCRTTTTTCTGCAATCTCCACAGCTCATAATGGCACAGGATTTTCGCTCTGTGTAAAAAAAAGGGAAAAAAAGAACAGCTTTTGGGAATCAATGCTATTAGCTACATGCTACATACTACAGGACAGGAAGTTTGTAGATGTCAAGCAAACCCACACAGTTTCTTACTCTCCTGGCTTCTTTTTTGACTGTCAGTTTACAGTGTTGTTAATAAAGGGATTTTTTTTCCCAGGATGACCATGTTTATACTAACATAATTCAACAAGTGAACACACACAGAGTGAAATATCTAATCTGCTGTTTTTTGTCATGACTTTATTTTTCTCCTCAGCAGACCTGTATTKCAGCTCTGTGTAAGCACTCCTGGGTTTTCTTTGTTCTTTGTTTGTCTTTTGATGACTTTTTTGTTTAGGATCAAGAAGAAATGTATCCAGAAAGTCAAAGAAAATACAGGAAGTTTTTCTTTCTTTCTTTTTTTTACAATTTCACCACATCCTTTAATCCTTGGTGAATGTAGAAGAGCCAAATAAAGCCTGAAGGTCACAATCAAAGAGTGAACAACTAGTTTTACATATTTTGATTTTCTTTGGATTTAAATTTCATGCTTAGAATCAATCAGTGATGAGGCAGTGAAGCAGTTAGARGGTATTCTGAGGAGCACCTGTAAGCAGGAGCACTGCAGAATAATGTTGGTATATTACTATTTTTTATTGTATCTAATTCTACATGTGATGAACCGTGGACACAGGAGGTCACATTTCAACTTCTACACTCAAACACCTCATCATATGATCTTGTATTATACTATAAAACATATCAGGATTATGTTTTTTAACACCTATTTCATCATTGTATCTTATTAGTTTGATGTGAACATAGTACTGCTCTCAGCAAACCAGAATTTATGGATACCTAACATTAAARGCATCAAAAACAACAACCACAGATGCTGCAGGACAGACAAGTCTGAAGAGGAGGGATGACCAGCAAGGATGAAGARAAAAGAAAATGGTATTACTGTGTAGAATAAGATTTCTATAATCCAAAACCTACTTTTGTATGTGTCCTGAGGAGGGTTTCATACCGTCAACAAGGGATAAGAGCCTAACTCTAAATATGCAGAAAAAACTAATTTAACATACTTTTTCCGTGACCAAYTAACACAGTTACTCTGAGCAAAACAAAAAGCTGGATTTGGATTCGAGCACGCGGCTCATGAGGGATTCACAGCATCCACCTTGTCCTGCCCAGGAGGCCTATCCACTCATCCAGCAGACAGGAGTAAGACAGCGCAGCTGCTCAGCTGAGAAGACTGGTGCAGCCAAGGACAGAGGCAAGGAAGCAGCAAATGAAAGGAGAACAAGGGGATCCGGGGGGTCTTTAAAAATCCACCCAGAGCTACAAATGCGAGACAGCAAGGAGACAACATCCTACTCCCTCAATAAACCTATTTCTTGGCAGACATTTTGATTTGAAATAGCAGGACAAACTCAAGTGTATTGATGTGGGCTGCATTCCATTTAGAGCTTTTCTCATGCATGTTTGTACAACAACCTGTATGCTCTGTATGCAAAGGAAATGTCTGCAGAGGAGTTTTGCAGAGTCAGTAATAGGTGTGTAAATCAGCAGCTTAATCATGATACAATAATATACTGATGTTTGGGTGACAATATTTTTCTCAATATCACAAAGTCTGTCAAGATACGATTTTAATTCAGTTCAGTTCACAAGTCTGTGATTGATATATTGATCTACATGGAACATATGATGATGATACGGATCAGTGTTTTCCTTTTGTTTTGATGGAATTGAATCATTTAACTGACATATCGATGTGGGCTGATCAACTGTTAGACCCCTGGCAATATGATGCTACAAACTAATACAACTTTCCACAACCCTGAGACTTTTAAAAGGCAGTCTCCTGAGTCCTCATGTCCTCAKTTGGCTTGGGATGKAGTATGTTGAGGCCTTTRGCTGKTTCCCTGCTTCAACACACCTGATTCAAATACTTAATCTACCAACTCAGMCTGYCACTCATTATTTCAACCAGGTGTGTCAAAAAAAAGGAAACATCTAAAATGTGAAGGACAGTGGGTCATGAGGAACAGGGTTGAGGGATTCCTCAGGTTTCAGCCATGACATGCTGGTGATGTGGTTCTACATCATGGATATGCTGCCAYCACAATCATAAACCACCCCAACCTGCCCAGTCTTCAGTGCAAACAACCATAGAACACTGTCTATACCAGGGCTCTGCAACTTTTACTATCAAAAGAGCCATTTCTGCCCCCAAGCTCACTAATGAAATAGCCACAAAATGTGCTACAACTGTGATTATCAACTGGTGGTCTGTGGACCATTTTATGTTGCTGAAGGGGGCCTTTACGGACAGCATGAGTGACATCATAAAACTAAAAATATGTAGCGAATTTTAACATTTATTATTATTTTTACACTAGTATGAAAGAAAATGAATTCATGTAAATAAGAATAATAATGTATATAGTTTACACCAAATCTAATAAAATCAAATGACCAATACGGACATATTTATGTTTCTAATTATTATTATTTAGCCTTAAAAGTAACTCTGATGGATTTGAGAGAAAGCTCATACTTTATAGCCAGAAGTTAAATACTTTATTGGCCAAAAGGCTGCTAGCGTAAACAAATAAACATGTTTCCCAATTTGCATTCTTGATTGCATATTTGCAAACAAATTGACAGGATAACTGCAAAAGCTAGCTTTTGTTGTGAGCATACCCCCCCCAAATATACAATCTCATGTTAGTTTCAAAGAGCAACTGCAGAGGTACAAAAGAGCCACAGGTTGAAGACCTCTGGTCTATACCATGTCATGTAGGGTAAAATCTAAAAATAAAGCATTTGCTTAAACTGTTTAAAAACCTTTGAGTTTTGAGTTGTTCTAGGCAGATAAAATAGTATTAGACTTCCAAWTGTGAGTTTTTCTTTGAGTCTTTAAACTAAGATTCTAACTCTCCTACAGGCACACGTTAGACTGCTAAAAAACACTCACAAAACCTCAACTATTCCTTTAACTTAATAGTAAAAACAGATTTTTTTCACACCTATGTGTGGTTGTATCTGTCACTAACAAAGAAATATGATGTTACAGTTTTACWCAGTTCCACAAATCAATACTTGGTTTTAATGGTGTTATCAGTAATGTGAGAAACACCTTTCACAACTTTTCTTTTGTAAGAACAATGATTGTAAACAAGATTATTTGTTGGCAAYAAATTCTCAWAGAGTAACTTCAACTTCTGCTCTTTTTTTTGAACCTATCAGTAGTTTCTCACACAAACCCACTCTGACAGTCAGTTGCTCACATAGTCGGTCACTTACACTTGCAAATGCATCGTGACAGCACTGGTGCGCACGCTCGTGTAATCACAGAGACACATACAGGTCGGGGTGACGCTGCCTTAGGGTACGGCTGTGAGTGTGTGATTAGAGGAGAATCGAGGACATACACTCACCCCTGTTAAAGTCTTTATGTTATGCAGTGCATTCTGGGCTTCAAGAGCAGCTTTCCTCGTGTAAAACGTGACAAAACAGCAGCCTGGGGAGAAGGAGAGAAAACAAGACAGGAGAGGGATCAGCATGAGGYGCAACAAAGAGCATCTTCCGCATTTATCCGCCTGGTATCACCTGTCGACACTGGCAGACGCAGCGTGAATGTAAAGGACCGAACATCCAAGCTTTTGGGTTTGTTTCAACGTTTGACGACTGGTGTCTCCAAAGGGGGCACAGATGGGAAGGACGCATGAACAGACAACAAAAAGACAGAAGGAACGGTGGAGGAGGAAGTTTTCTCCTCATTAATCATCACGTTTTCTGTGAACAACTGCTTTATTGCCCATTAAAAAAAGAAAGCAGTTGTGTATTTATTGTTCGTGTTTATGTGGTTGTTCAATTACAGGTTGCTGGTTCCCATTRGGCGATTTGCAGGCTAAAATTTTGATAAAATCTGGTCAAAGGGTAAAGGTTTCAACAGCTACTAAATGATTCAAATATGTTTGAACAGCGCATCAACAAACAACCTTGTTGCTTTTGTTTTCATTTAATTTAAATTACAGAGTCAAATTTAATGCAAAATAAAGTGCTCAAAATCCATTTCAAGTTCACATTTAGGCCATGTTCAACCTTGATTTACAAGAAAATAAAAATCTTTGTCACAGCTGTACATGGTAAYGAAATGTTTGCAGCTCAACAGCTACAACTTTAAAAAGCTTAAAAACAGGAGGTGTGCAATGGCACATAGAGGAATAAATCACAGTGCTTAGACTTAGCAGATAAATGCTCAATGAGGTTCTTGTAATTACAAACAGTGCTGTATCTGCACTGAAATGCAAACATAAAATGAAAATGGAAGGGCTGCAAAGGAGAGCAGGCTTTTTGCACTTTTATCAATCTATGTAATCCCCAAAGAACGGCCTGGAAAAACTGCAGTCTGACTGCACAATCAGGCAAAAACCCAGCAGGACGACATAAAGGCAGCAGGACGTCATGCAAACAGTGGCTGTTTGTTGATGTCGGTAAAAGAAAAGGATTAGAAATCTTTCTCTGTTAAATACATCTGCAACTGAAAGCAGTTTGGGTTAAACTCAAACTCACAGCTAAGTAACCTTAGTAAACCCAAAAATAGCTAAAATGCAGTCAGTTTTACAGATTTTGAGCTAAAATCTGATCTTTGGTTAAAACTTTGGTTAAACAACCTTGCTTGTCTGTTAGCAAAATAYCTCATGAAAATACCTTACATATGGATCTTTCATAAAAATGTTAACCTTTTTTTCAAAGTTAATACCCACTTCTAACAGACAGTTTTAAAACAAGACAAGCTTCTGCTGTTGCTTTTACACTCCCTTTGCCTAAAACAAACGCACACAGAAATGCGKTTGTGTTCAGAGCCATGTTAGGTTGGAATGGAAAATGAGAATATGAATTATTTTACTTTCTTGCTAATAGTTATCTTTGACCATTGATGGTGATATGTAGATTGCACGTGTGGGGGTTGTGTGTTGTTTCATTTTTGTTTTATTGTATAGTTGTTTTTTTATAGACCCAAGGAAGAATAGTCCTCACTATGGCAAGGTCTAATAGGGATTCCTTCAAAAAAACAAACCACCAGACCCAATTATTGAAATTATCAGTAAGTAATCGTTAAATGTGCGTCTACAACCTTTATAATCAACCTAATTCAAGATGGCTGCTGTAGCCAACCTTAGGAAACATACAACTGGTTATAACTTGCAGAAGTTATTTTAAAGATATTGAGTTAAACTATGGTGYGACAGGTGCTGAGAGTCATCTCCAACAAAGACCTAACAGTTTCTCAGATCTTGTGACATCACGAGTAGACCTGTCACGATAAGCAATTGATCGCACAATAGGTTAAAATAAGGTTGATACTTTTCATTTGWCTGCGTSTTTGTTTACTTTGTGYCTCCCTCTTTTCTACTTCTTAGCGTAGGGAGTGAAATCTGGTGTCAGGTATTGCTGGGTTGAAGTCACATGACCCGGATGACCCGTGAATGTCAGAAGGAGGGCAGGAAGTGATTTGCTCTGGTTAAAAACACAGCAAAATGGATCACAGTGAGTAYGCTAATGCTCTAAATGGGCTGGCRCAGACGAGATATCGCAAAAAAACTATGCATACATTTAGGATATGACCCGTATTATCTTAATAAAAAATACTAGGATTTCCCTGGCGTCAAGTTTATCAACGTAAACTACGTACTATCTGGTGATGCAAATTTCATATTATGTGACGAGCCAGTCTTCAGTTTTCCAGAACCTTTTTTCAACTGGTGATGTCTCAGGACACCCTCAGGGTACCAAGACGAACCATGGGTTCACTGAGAGTCGTTTTCCTTTACACAACGTAAACTTCAGAAACTTCCGTAAATTTCGTAAGGTGACCACAGTTATTTTATGGGTGAATACAAACAACAATATTTCTGAGAATATTTATTGTTCAGCAAAATTTGTAATTTTGACGGGCCTACACAAGATTACTTTTAGTGTAATTTACAAGGTTTGGCCAGAATGGCTACAACTACACTGCGTTAAAACTTTGCTACAAAAGCTGGTGGGTATCTCACAGGATACTGCAGTGTGTGTAGCTTCTGTAATATCTGCAGCATCTGTTCTGTTTTCAGTTCTTTTAGACATCACCCCTTGGATAAAAAACAATTTATTTTTATTTTCTCATCAAGATTTTATATAACGTTCGTCTGCACAGCCTTTGACCTAAAAACTTGGCAAAGAAATGTTCTAGCTCAGTTTAATCAAAAACACTTTTTAAAACAGGAAAGTTTTTCTTAAATACACTACATAAACATGTCAGTCCTGGTCCAGGAGATGCATCCCAATTTAGCCCTCATACATTAAAACAACTTAAACAAATGAATAGATAACAGATTTTGTATTGTTTTCTTACCCATTTAAAGTTAAAAGCAACTGGCTGGCAACACAGAATTAGGGAATATGCTGCATGAAGCCTGAGCTGACTCTATTAATGAGCTGAAAATCCATAATCATGCTCCAGCCACAGGTGAGTTTCTGCTCTGGCTTCGATGTTTCCCCTCAGACCGCTGCAGGTTTGAAGCTGTTGCCTTCAGTTTAGTCCATCTGTTAATTTTGCTGCGTATTTATTTGTCCACAGATGAGTGGCGAGTGCCATTGTTTACATCTGCTTTGTTGTCCTCCCCTTTGTGTTTATGACACAAATCAAATCAGTATGAAAGAGGCCRACTGGTTGTGGTGTTGTTGCCCGTATCGCAGGCGTCAGCCCTTATGACACTTGCCCCGTGGCGCATCTTAGTGAAATCCAACAGCGAGCATCTGGAGCAGGTTTAGCCTCTGAATCCCAGAGTCCCTTTGATGAGGCTGGGAGCGTAATGGATCTGAATTCCCGTGATGTCCTGTGGGTGCCAGGGGCTGTTGAATAGTTGGCCGTTAGCCTAGCATCAGCAATGTGATTGGTGTTGTGATCTGGATGATGCAGTGCCTGTGTATTAATGGGAATAACACTCGGCTTAGCGTTTCTTTCCATGACCCCCAGCGTGAAAGACAGCTCATCGTGTCACTTCACTGAACTCCACACTTCAGCTATCAATTTACCACCAACAGTTTAGCACCAGCTTTTTATCGGTTAAGAATAGCAACATAAGGGGGGAAATTAGTCCTGACTGAGAAACTAATGTTGGGTATAAATTAGACAATTTAGTTCGTGCAGGAATCAAACAAAGGTATTTCTCAAAAGAGTGTTTTCGCACCTATTTTATGTAAATCAGTTCACAAGGCACTTGTTTAAAAARSAGCATTGGCTGAAATCCCAAAATACACACATGCAACTCCAATTTCAATGATGTTGGGATGATGTTTAAAGGGCCAATATTATGTGTTTCTCAGGCATATTTTTAAATACTATACCGTAATTAGTATATACCGGTATGTCACCTTTAGCTGTTATTAAAGGTATYATATCATGCTTTTAAATCCTTCTTTTTCACGTCTAAATCATTCACTTATGTCTATTTAAGATAAAACTGCAAAGCTTTGGTCTTAATTCCTCATTTTTGTTGCTCCACAGACTCTTTGCTTTCCTTGCTTTCCCCCTGTTCTGAGTTGCACCACAGAGCAAGCTGTTTTGGTGCGGTCTCTTTAAATACAAATGAGATACTTCACACGCCGCCCCCTCCAGGTTGCTGAAGCGTTCAACTCCACCCCGTTCAGCCATATTTGTWGTTTCATAGCAAAAAACAGTTAAATACCAACTAAAAATCGTTTTTAAGATAAGATAAGACAGAACTTTATTGATCCCACAGTCTGGAAATTTGCACATTACTGCAGCTTAATACAAGAGAGGCTGAGAAGAATAATGAAAGATTAATAAAAGATAACAAACAAAACCCCACAATATACACATGTGATATAYAGTGATGTACCAATGCACAAATACACATATACATAAACACATAATTATTTATATACATATATACACCGTAAAGTACAGTACAGAAATGAATGTATATGAAGGTGCATATTAGTGATGGCAGATGGCAAGAAAGTATAAGGATGTCAACAACAGTAGACTTGTCAATCCAGCATGTACGAGCCAGAGTCTGACCCAGTGCAAGACACTCAGAATGACAAACCTGCAGGACCACATCTTCAAACGAATGTGTCACAATGGTGCGTTATTTATTTACACACTCTATGTCCTTGCCCACATTGGGGAGCATAGCTAAACTAAAATACATGCATTTGAACTACTATTATATTATATAATTTACTTTTGTGATCAATAAAGTATTTTTTAATTGAACAACTACAATATACTCACACTCAATGTACAGATGTGAAATTATTTTAAATAAATTKATTTTTGTGCTTGACTGTTAGTTTGAAATGTACAAAAAGCAAATAAAATGTAATTGTTTTGATTTTTCATTACCAATTAGCCTATTAATTTCCATATGTCAAATCATAACTTAAATCATAATTAAATGATCAGTCACATTCTACTTTGGAACTGTAACTAATATTGTATGTCAC